AATGTCGCTTGATCCATTCCAGAATCTGGGCAGAAAATGTGTTGACTTGGAGAGGCCGTATCTCAGTCATAACATGGAGTTAAAATACGAATTTTGAGTGCTAGGGTTGCTTGTGGACCATAGAGAGACCTAAGAGATTCCCGCGTGTTTTTTTTTTGCTTGTGGCTAAGTACTTTTGTTTGAAATTTTGTTGACTATGTGATGCCATGGAATTGTCTAACCACGGTACAAGTCTCCACTTGTGACRAGGAAGAGACGTCATGACACTTGGATTAGTATTCATTTAGTGAGTTCTCTATTAGCATATCATTGTGTTATGACAATCCTCTCCGTCACACTTCGCGTTTCCGCCTAGGCAGGGTGTGACAGATTGGTATCAAAGCCAGTTTATAGAGAATTAGGTGGATTGACCTAGACTATAACCTAAGAACCCACATGTATTATGCATGGTAGGAACTATGTGTGCATTTACGTACGTGTGTATTACTCATAGACTCTTAGCAATAGCAGGAAGTTGTTTTCTTTATGTGCACTTAGTGAAACACTCAACTTTGTTTTTATTATGACTGGCCATTTCTTTAGCCATGGCACCTACCAAGTACCTGTCAACCGTCATCCCTCCACTGGTCCGGAACCTCAAAGGCGCGTTGACTTAACGGTAATGGAGCATTCTTCAAGGTAACGGCTTGTAAGCGAATCACACCAGGTCGAAAGTTTACCTTCACTCTTTTACCGAAACACTTTGAGGAATCATCAGAGTCATCAGAGGAAGATCCCTCGGAGGAGGGGAACGAGGAAGAGCCCTTGGAGGAGGAGAACAAGGAACAACCCATGGAGGAGGAGAACAAGGAAAAGCCTTCCAAGGAGCCGACAGAGGATGACCCGTCTGAAGAACCCCAGGAGGAGTTACCCGAGGAGGATGAGGACTCGGATACCGTATCTGATGCTCGTTGTGGACCTGAACCGGGATGCATCCATCGTGAACACTCACCCGATCCGGAGGAATCGACTAGCACTTGCGAGAGCAAGGTTGGATCCAAGTGGCGCTCAGTCTAGCCATCTCCCACTTTTCATGTTGACATTCCTTAGGACGTCAAGCCTCGTTAGTGATTAATAGGAGAAGGATTTATTTATTATTATTATTATTATTAGTATTACTATTTTGTTTAGATCTTATTTTATTTGAATTAGTCGAACTTATCACTATAGGGTGCTTTGGAGTATTATTAAACGTTATTGGGATATTTATTAGATTATGAAATTTTATTTTTCTTATTTTAATCATCTATTTATTTATTTATTTACTTATTTTCTTGGTTGGAGTATTTGGTTGTAATATGGCTTGTTATGTGGTTTGATACCTACCTATAGATGGGGTGTATGACGTTGAGATATGCAAACTTGGTAATAAGTACATGTGTGAATGGATGCAGTTATAATTATGGGTGGCCAACGTAATTATAAATGCATCACGACCCATGTGGGCTTATGTGACCATATTTGTATTGATCAATGTTGACACGACTAAGGTAGTGAATCGAGATGTGGGGAGAGGTGCAAATGTACTATGAGTAATTGTGCAATAAATAAACTTTTCCCCTATCTATCGGCTAAGAGATCTTCTTCTTTGTATAAAATATGCCTCCAAGAAGATCAGCCCGAAATACTGGACGAGGTGGAAATCGTGGTGGTAGAACTGGGAATGGTGAGACCCAAAACCCTGACATTGCTGAGATCATAGCACAACAGCTCCAAGCACTAATTCCCACTATTGTCGCTCAGGTTAGCAATAACCTTAACCACCAGAATGATGATRGAGAAAGGGAKCATGAAGGAGATGCTAATAATGGGGATGCRGTTGGTAGCAATGCCAGAAATGCTAATGGTTGTACTTACAAGGAATTCTTGGCATGTAAGCCAAGGGATTTCGATGGCAAGGGGGGCGCATTGGTACTCACAAGATGGGTAGAGAAGATGGAAGCAGTGATGGATATCAGCAATTGTGCAGATAACCAAAAGGTGAAGTATGCAGCAAGCTCTTTAAGTAACAAAGCTCTGACATGGTGGAACACACAGATTCAAGCTAGGGGGAGAACCGCTGCAATAGGCATGTCCTGGGAGGAGTTTAAAGCATTGCTAGTGGAGGAGTTCTGCCCAAAGAATGAAATGCAGAAAATAGAAACTGAGTTTTGGAACCACACCATGGTGGGAGCTAACCATGCCGCGTACACTGATCGATTCCATGAGTTAGCCAAACTAGTCCCACATTTAGTTACCCCCGAGTCCAAATGGATTGCTAGGTATATTTCTGGGCTAGTTCCTCAAATTCGTGGAATGGTTACTACAACTGAGCCACCAACCATTCAAAGTGCTATCTTAACGACGGGGGCACTAACAGATGAGATGGTTAGAAATGGATCCTTGACTAAAAGTAACGAGAAGAGGAAAGATGGAGGTGAATCAAGTAAACAAGGGAATACCTAGACCGATAACAAGAGGAATAAAGTGGTAAAAGGGTTCGTGGCAGCCAACCCTGTCAGGAAGGAGTATACAGGTCCTGCCCCAAAATGTGCCAGGTGCAATTACCATCATTATCCCAATACGCCGTGTCGTTCCTGTACAACATGCAATAGATTGGGGCACTATGCAAAGGATTGTCGGGTAGGGGCCGGGTTGGTGACTCCAGTAAATGCAATAAACCTGATAGTTACTCGTGGGGCGTGTTTCGAATGCGGTGGTACCAATCACTATCGATCGACGTGCCCTAGGCTGAACATAGCACATAATCAAGGTGGGAATCGCGTAAATCAAGTGCCAGCTATCGAGGGAAACCAAAACCAGGGGAGCGGTGGCAATCCAATTCGTGGAAGAGCCTTTATCATGGGAGCAAACGAGGCTCGGCAGGATCCTACCATTGTCACGGGTACTTTTTCTTTAAACAATTACTATGCTACTGTACTATTTGATTCCGGTGCTGATTATAGTTTCGTTTCCACTRAATTTGTGACTCTAACGGATATGAAACCTAGTAATTTGGACTCTAGTATTATGGTAGAAGTAGCAAGTGGTCAAAAGGTAGAAGCTAATAAGGTTGTTCGTGGGTGCAACTTAGTATTAGGGGGTTATCCTTTCGCTATTGACTTGATACCTTTTGGGTATGGAAGTTTTGACGTGATTGTGGGAATGGACTGGATGGCGAAGGTTAGGGCGGTAATAGTTTGTCACGAGAAGATAGTTCGAATCTCCATGTCGAACGGTGCAGTACTCCTGGTTCGTGGAGATCGGCCTCAGGAAGATTCGAAGCATCTTATGAGTACGAAAGCAGATGAGAGGAAACTCGAAGATATTCCGGTTGTTCGGGATTTTCCTGAAGTATTCCCTGAAGACCTGTCGGGATTGCCCCTTCCTCGACAAGTTGAATTTCGCATAGATTTAATTCCCGGAGCGACTCCTATTGCCAGATCACCGTACCGCTTGGCGCTGACTGAAATGGAAGAGTTGTCCAACCAACTTCAAGAGCTCCAAGACAAGGGTTTCATTCAACCTAGTCACTCACTATGGGGTACACCTGTTCTGTTTGTCAAGAAGAAGGATGGCTCATTCCGGATGTGCATAGATTACCGAGAACTGAACAAATTGACCATTAAGAACCGTTATCCTCTCCCGAGGATAGACGACTTATTCGATCAATTACAAGGTTTGCATCTTTTCTCTAAGATATATCTTCGCTTCGGTTACCATCAGTTGCGGGTACATGAAGTGGACATTCCAAAGACTACATTTAGGACTCGTTATGGACATTTCGAGTTTAAGGTCATGCCCTTCGGACTAACCAATGCACCTGCGGTCTTCATGGATCCGATGAACCGCGTGTGCAAGCCATATCTGGATAAATTTGTTATCGTCTTCATTGACGACATCTTGATTTATTCGAAGTCCAAGGAAGAACACGAGGCACACTTACGGCTAATCCTAGAGTTACTTAGGAAAGAGAAGTTGTTCGCCAAGTTTTCAAAATGTGAATTCTGGTTGCAAGAGGTACAATTTCTCGGTCATGTAGTTAACAACGATGGAATTCATGTGGACCCCAGTAAGATTGAGGCAGTAAAGAAATGGAGGACCCCTAAATCACCCTCAGAAATTCGTTCATTTATGGGATTGGCAGGTTACTACTGACGGTTCATCGCGAACTTCTCTAAGATTGCCAAACCCCTCACCTCGCTAACTCAGAAGGATAAGAAGTTTGACTGGGGTGAAGCACAGGAAGAAGCATTCCAAAACACTAAAGGATAAGTTGTGTGAAGCTCCAGTTTTGACCTCCCTGACGGATCGGACGACTTTGTAGTTTATTGTGATACGTCGAACCAAGTTCTTGGATGCGTGATGATGCAGAGGGGTAAGGTGATTGCATATGCATCTCGACAACTGAAGAATTATGAGAAGAATTATACCACACACGATTTAGAGCTAGGTGCAATGGTATTTGCACTCAAAAACTGGAGGCACTATTTGTATGGGACGAAGAGTGTGATTTATTCTGATCACAAAAGCCTGCAGCGTATCTTTGATTAGAAGGAATTGAATATGCGTCAGAGGCGATGGATGGAACTTCTCAGTGATTATGATTGTGAAATTCGCTACCACCCCGGTAAGGCGAACGTGGTGGCTGATGCGTTAAGTAGAAAGGATAGGGCTAAACCCAGGAGAGTATGGACAATGAGCATGACAATCCATTGGGGGATCAAGGGCAAGATACTTGAAGCTCAGAATGAAGCATTGAATGACATAAATGCACCGGATGAAATGCTGCGAGGGTTAGATAAACAAATAGAGAGAAGGGAGGACGGTGGACTATACTTCATGGAACGAATTTGGGTTCCGTTAAAGGGCAATGTGAGAACCCTAATCATGGACGAAGCTCACACAACTAGATACCGGTCCATCCAGGAGTGGGTAAGATGTACAATGACCTTAGGGATGTGTACTGGTAGTCGGGAATGAAGAAAGCCATAGCCATCTATGTGAACAAGTGTCTGACTTGTTCGAAGGTTAAGGCCGAACACCAAAATCCCTCGGGTTTGTTGCAGCAACCGGAGATTCCTAAGTGGAAGTGGGAAAATATAACCATGGATTTCATTACAAAGTTACCCAGGACTAGTAGTGGGCACGATTCAATTTGGGTTATTATAGATAGAATGACTAAATCAGCACACTTCCTAGCCATCCGCGAAGACTACAAGATGGACAAGCTAGCGAGAATCTATATCAGCAAGATAGTGGCGAGGCACGGGGTGCCTGTGTCCATCATATCGTATCGTGATAGTCGGTTCACATCACGATTTTGGCAAACGCTGCAGAAAGCGTTGGGAACGCAATTGGACATGAGCACAGCGTATCATCCTCAAAATGATGGCCAGAGCGAACGTACCATTCAAACATTGGAGGACATGCTTAGAGCATGCGTCATCGACTTTGGGGGAAGTTGGGATACTCACCTTCCTTTAATTGAGTTTTCATATAACAACAGTTATCATACAAGCATCAAATATGCCCCGTTTGAGGCGCTATACGGGCGGAAGTGTCGATCACCTGTTATTTGGGCTGAATTTGGGGAGAGCCAAATGATTGGCCCAGAAATCATGCAAGAGACCACCGATAAGATTTTTCAGATCAAGGAGAGGCTTAAGGTAGCAAGAGATCGAAAAAAGAGCTATGCCGATAATCGACGGAAGCCTCTAGAATTCAACGTTGGCGACCAGGTATTACTTAAGGTGTCACCTTGGAAGGGGGTGGTAC